GAGGAGTGGAGTGCTGGAGATGATATGTAGTTTGTGGTTGGTTTTATGCTTTTGGCCATTTTTGAAGGGGTTGTTTGGTAAAGGAAGTTATGGACTTCCATTGTTCACTGTCTGCAAGTCAGTTGTCATGGCATCTGTGTTTGTGCATTTATGCCACAGAACAACCATGAATTAACTAAGACTTGGCGGTCTTGTTTCTTACACCACCTTTGTTTCCTTTAAAAATAAAGTTTTGTACTTTCTGTCATTTGATAAAGTTAAAACCTAGCACATATAAATCCATAGTATGAATATAGTTTAACCATCATACAAATTGAGCCAAAAAAAAAAAATTAAATTGAAAGGAGCTTTAAGGTGTGGAAGGGAATAAGTCTACAAATGAGGAGAGATATTTGAACAATGATCCATAGTTCTGAAATTGTATTCTTTACTCTCAAAACTAATCAATAATAAGATAATGATTATGTATTTTATAAATCTTTGTTAGATCATTTAATTTTTGGATGCGGAACTTAAAAGTGGATAGAAGAAAGAGAATAGAGAATAAGAGAGGGAGGAGGAGATGCCACCTCATAACTCAATCTTTTTTTTGCCACATCAACGCAATCCAATGAATACCTTTTGGAGGGTCTAAAGTTTGCCCAATCACAGAATTGATATACACGTGGAATCTGACTGTCTCACACCAATTCGTCTTATTCGAAGTGAAATCACAACTTTAGGTGATTTATTAAATTAGTTGATTGAAGTGAGAAATCAAACCCTAACCTTCACCTCCATCTCTTTCTCTTATGCACCTCGTATTTGCAACAAACCCACTCATATGCTGGCGAAATTGGGGGTTTCATCTTTAGCCACGTTTTCTTGGTTTTCTTATTTCCCTCCGTGGGTTTTAGACATTGTAAAGGGAGATTTTCTTCCACTGTTGTCCAACTGGCTTTAATTTAATAAACATTTCCCTTTAAAAAAACCCAAAAATAGAGGAATCACACACTAAAATTTAGAGATTAAATTGTTAATTACCCGACAAATTTGAAAATCTCACCGATTAAAACATTTACATTATTTCTTTTTTATTTTCAAAGCACTTTATATTGCTTTAGGTAGAGTTGTGGTTTCAAGATCAGGCATCATCACCAGAATCCACTCACAATCTATCCACAAACAAATGCTTCTCCTTGCTCTGTATTACAAAATGGTAAAATCTATGTCTCTGTATGAAAAAACAACCATCAAAAGCTCTACCCAAACAGCATTAGATTTTGCCATCTTCTTCCTCTTGCTTTCTCTTGTGGGTTACCGCCTCCTGTTTCTCTGGAACCATGGCTTCTCCTATCTCCAAACAATGGCCTTTCTCTGCGAGTCATGGTTCTCCTTCGTCTGGCTTCTCGCCATCATCATCAAATGGAATCCCGTCGACTACAAAACTTACCCTCATCGCCTCCTCAAACGGTAATTAAACACACTATTATTTTTTCACTTAATTTGTACCCACATCAGAGAGCATAGATTAGTTAAATGGGAAAATGTAAAAATCTAATTTTGAGGGTTAAAATAATATGTAGGGAGTTGGAGCTTCCGGCGGTGGACATATTTGTGACGACGGCGGATCCGGTGCTGGAACCGCCGATAATAACGGTGAATACGGTGCTGTCTTTGATGGCGATGGATTATCCGGCCAAGAAGCTGGCCTGCTATGTTTCCGACGACGGCTGTTCTCCGGTGACCTTCTATAGCCTGAGAGAAGCACTAAAATTTGCAAAGATTTGGGTTCCGTTTTGCAAAAAGTACGAGGTTGAAGTTCGAGCTCCGTTTAGGTACTTCTTGAATGGCCCAACGCCGCCGCCTCGTCTTGATACCTTAGGAGAATTCCATAAAGAGTGGAAAAGAGCCAATGTAATACACTCGTCCGGTTTTTTTTTTACTTATTTTATTACTCTATTATTTGAAATTTGTGCGGCTAATTTAATTATGATGTAGACAAAATTAGAACAGGGATTTTCCTTATTGTTGTTTTTTTTTTCTTTTTCTAATTTTATATTTATGGTATTGTTGATAAATGAAGGAGGAGTATGAGCTGCCGAAAGATAAAATCGAAGAAGCAGAACGAAAGATGTTTGTTAGTGCAGGAAACGACGACGTCGCAGTGAATTTGGATTTGGATTTGGCTGCTTTCTCTCGTGTGGACACAAAAAATCATCCCACGGTAGTTAAGGTATTCCACTGCCTCTGCGTTTTTTTATTTCTTCAAGAAAAATTCACATTTTCTTCAGGTTAAATAATTTTTTACTTTAAATTTTTAGTTTCATCTAATTAAATTTTATACTAAGAAAAGTGTTAGTAATTTTTTCCTTTCTATTTCATTAAATCAAATCCTAACAAATCAAAGGTCAGACATAAATCTGATAAACCATTGAACCGGTATTCATAAAAATAAAATAGCTATGGTTTTTTTTTTCTTTCTTGTGGAGTCCTAATTTTGTATAGTTCATTAAATCTATGTATTCCTAAAGTTCTATACACACATATGAATGTCTTACTAAAAGGCAAAAATTGTAACGGTAAAAATTTTCTCACCTTGCTATTGCTAATTTCTATAGTAAAAGTTTTAAATTTCCCTTCCACTTGAAAGCGGAAGAACAATCATTCAAAATCAATGTTCCATTGGAAATAATTAGTTTTAGAGCATTGAGCACCCCTTCCGTTATCATTAATGTCCGGTAAATAGCATTTAAAACATTGAGAACTGAACAAGTAACACAAATTAATTTTTTTTTTGAAAATAACTCACATAAATTAATTACTCCCTGAAGAATTTCTATAGTAAATTAAAATTCAAATTGGTGGCGACTTTTCTTTTCCAACTTTTGACTAGGCTGTAGCGTACACCCCTTCCGTCGTCATTAATGTCCACTAAATAGCATTTAGAGCATTGAGCACCGAACAAGTAACACAAATTAATTTTTTTTTTTGAAAATAACTCACATAAATTAATTACTCCCGAAGAATTTCTATAGTAAATTAAATTCAAATTGGCTTGGGCGGCGACTTTTCTTTTCCAACTTTTGACTAGGATGTAGCGTACAGCCCTTCCGCCCTTCCATCGTCATTAATGTCCAGTAAATAGTATTTAGAGCATTGAGCACTGAACAAGTAACACAATTTTTATTTTTTTTTGAAAATAACTCACATAAATTAATTACTCCGAAGAATTTCTATAGTAAATTAAAATTCAAATTGGCTTGGGCAAATTGGTCTGATAATAATATATTTTAGAGAAAAATACATTTTGGTCACTCAAATTTGGGTATAGGTCAATTTGGTTTCTGAAATTTCAAAATAAAAATGTCTGGTCTCTGAGATTTGAAAAATTATTCAAAAATAGTTGCCAAGTATCTTAAACTTTTAGTTGACTGGATAGAAAAATGACTGGCAATTAACAATGAATAAGTGACTCGAAATTTATAACTTGCTTTTTTTTAATGAGTTGCAAAAACATATTAATTTTTACACAATGTGACGTGACATTATTTTTTATTCCTTCTCTCTTCTTCTTTTGTTCTCTTCATCCTCTTGCTGTCGTCCAACACTGTAGTCGTTGTTGCTGCCCAACAGAAGGAGGAGAGCTCCTACTCTCTCTCCCCCATTCTAATCACCAGATCTGAAACAAGAGAGAGGGAAACCTTCCCTCTCTCCGGTAGGTGGCGAAGGCAACGACGACAGATGGTAGCAACGATGGTAGGTGGCGAAGGTAGTGGATAGTCGCAGTGGACGATAGTAAGAACATGAAGATACCAAAAGAAGAAGAAAAGAAATAAGGAAATGTTATGTCATAACCAAAATTACGGAACAATTAATATTTTTTTACAATTAATATATTTTTTTTAAAAAAAGTAAGAAAAGTAATTACTGTCGTTTTTATGTTAAGGATGTGTAGGGACCATTTAGAACAAGTTTTCAAATTTGAGATGCAAAAAAGTGTTTATTTTAAAATTTCGGAGACCATACAAACGCCTACTTTAAACTTCAATGACTAAACGTGTTTGTTATAAAATTTTAGGGGCCAAATTAACTCTTATTCCAAACTTAGTGATCAAAGTGTATTTTTTTTATCTTTTATTTTTAAAATTAATTAACAATTCAATTTAGAAGTATGTTTACTTTTTACTTTTCATGTTCGATTAAATAAAAATAAAATTTAAACCCTATTGTTAAAGATTTTTAAAACACACCGAAGACTTATAAGAAATTCAAAAAAAAAAAAAAGAAGAAGAAGAAGAAAAAGGGCTAACTAATTTTTTAAACATGAGGGAAGCTTAAATATTAGGCACTCATTTTTATAATTCTGAATTATTATTTAGAATTCTATTTAAGTTCACCACCTTTTCAAATTCATGGTTAAAATTGATAAAATAAATATTTCAAGTTTAAAATTGATACATCCAATTAAATACATTTATTTTCTAAAAAAATGGATTCTTGTTGGAAATAATGAACTATTCCTATTAATATGAAGTAAACTTGAAATGATGAAAATTGCACCTAGAAATATTTTTAATAAGTAATATTTTCTTCTCATATATATGTGCGCGCGTGGGGTTCTAAATCATTAATGAGTACTTTTTTCCTTAGTCAACTTCAAATAATAATAATAAAAAAAAACTTTCAATATTTTTGGTCAATGATAATACCTTAGTCAATGATTAGTTACTAACTACTCATTTTTGCAGATATTATGGGAGAATAAAAATGTTGCAGATGAATTGCCACGTTTGATTTATCGAAAAATCCAAAGCATCCCCACTATTATAAGGCGGGTGCCATGAACGTTCTGGTAATCTAAAACATACTTATACCAAGTTTAATTCTTACCATTTTTTGAAATTATTAATGTTCGTGTTATCTAACGTGTAGACAAGAGTCTCAGGGCTATTGACAAACGCTCCTTACATGTTGAATGTTGATTGCGACATGTTTGTCAATAATCCTCAAATCATTTTAAATGCAATGTGTATATTTTATAACTCCGAGATTGATTTTGAAGAGATTGGATTTGTTCAATCTCCTCAATGTTTTTACGATGGGCTAAAGGATGACCTATATGGAAATCAACTTGTGGTCCTATACAAGGTAATTCTACTTTCTATTCTCAACCTCATTTGTGTTTTTATTGATTTTATTTAAATTATATTGAGTGTAATGCAAATGTAGTTTATTGATATGTTTTAATCCAAATCTAATTGAAATGAGTTAGTGGGAACCTTTTCCCCCTAATAATGTATCTTTTGTTATAAAAATGGAAATACCCTATCATATTTTGACTAATAGAATTGGTTTTTAGAATTTGGTTGTAGAAAATTATTGCAATATATATAATTTTGACGAGTGTAGAACATTTGGGTTGCAGTACATCGGCCGTGGGATTGTTGGACTTCAAGGCCCTCTCTACACCGGAACTGGTTGCTTCCATCGACGAAAAGTCATATATGGCCAATCACCTCACCACCCTCCTGCAAATATTATCGATGGTAATTATATATCATTTTGATTTTTTCTTAAATATCTATAAATGAATTAAATTTATCGTAATTCGATTTTAAGTTTAATCATATTTAAGAGGGTATCTGAGAGGTCTTGTGTCTGAACTCATACTCATGTGTTGTCATTTTTGTTGATTTCCACTTGTTAGGTTTTGTGTAAATTTCCAAACCTATGAGTGGAGTATTAGATATCCTATAAGGTCGTACTAAATGAAAAATAAGAATAAGAATGAGATTGATAAGATTTTAGGAGAAGAATGACATTACTTTGAGACGGGTCTCATAATTTGATTCATTTTAAAAACCATATGATTTCCATTTCTTTAGAGTAAACATGGCCTAAATGAATTAAATATATATATATATTTAAGATGATATCAGAGATAGATTTCGCATTGTTATTTTCTCTCCTTTATTATTCATTTCCACTGCTTTAATCATGTTCAAGAATCAACAAATGTCATGCTATATTTGTTCTCCATTTCTTGATCCCTTTGTAGGAAAAGCTTCCGAGCAAGAATTATTAAAAGAATTTGGATGTTCAAAAACTTTCATAGACTCAGCGGCTCGTGCATTCAACGAAAACAATGCATCTGACCATCACTCTGAAAGCATATTCAACAATGTTGAAGCAGCAAACCAAGTTGCTGCATGTGGCTACGAGCTTGGCACTAGCTGGGATTYCAAGGTCTTAAACCATCACTCAACCCAAAAGTTTATATCGATGAATTGGATAAATTTAATTCATAAACTCTACTTCCAATTTTGATAGAGATGGAAAAAAGATTCGACAACTTGTTCGGAATTGTAAGTGGTTGTTTGTTTTTTGAATCTCAGGTGGGGTGGATCTATGGATCTATATCAGAGGATATCCAAACAGGGCTGATGATTCATAAAAGGGGTTGGAGATCTGTTTTCATTGCTCCAGAGCCAGTAGCCTTTCTGGGTTGTACCCCGTCGGGCCTTCCCACTTCCCTAAAGCAACAAAAGCGATGGACCACAGGCTTGCTTGAAATTTTATTCAGCAAAAACTGCCCAGTTTTCGCCACTTTCTTTGGAAACCTCCAATTCAAGCAGTGTGCAGCTTATATTTGGATCCTAACTTTGGGCCTTCGTTCCATTCCAGAGCTTTGCTATGCCACACTCTCAGCTTATTGTCTCCTAACAAACTCTCGTTTCTTTCCCGATGTAAGTACAAGTTAAAACGAAAAATTCAATTTCTCTTAATTGTCAAATATTCGATAGTGGTGGATATAAGATAAATCCTTATCTGTGAGGAGCTAAAGATATTTCTTTAACGATATAAACCTTAACCTCTCATTTGTAGGTGCAAGAACCAGCAATCTACCTTCCCATTTCCCTCTTCATTCTTTACAACTTTCAGCAGCTACTACAATACTATGAAACAGGTCAATCAATAAGAGCTTGGTGGAACAACCAGAGGATGGGGAGGGTGAATACAATGTGTGCATGGTTTGTTGGAGCAGTCAGCGTCATTCTTAAACTTTTGGATTTAGCAGAAATTACATTCGAAGTAACAAAGAAAGAAACGTCTTCTAACGACAATGAGAAGACTGAAGTTGAATTAGGACGGTTCACATTCGACGAGTCTCCGATAATTGTGACGGGCACAACCATTTTGTTGGTGAATGTTATTGCACTACTTACCAGCTTGATAGGGGTGAGGCCGAGCGTTGAGAGTGGAAGAGGAAGCGGAGTGCTGGAGATGATATGTAGTTTGTGGTTAGTTTTATGCTTTTGGCCGTTTTTGAAGGGAATGTTTGGTAAAGGGAGTTATGGACTTCCTTGGTCCACCATATCCAAGTCAGCTGTCGCGACGGTATTGTTCGTGTATTTCTGTCAAAGGATCGCTATTAAATAGTGAAGTTGCAAAAAAAATTTTAATATAATAAAAGGTGAGAAATTCAAACTCGTGATTTTTTTAATCAGAAACAAGTAACAGTAACCACTAAATTTATAAAATTTATTGGAAGTTTTATTTTATTTTTAATCAGGAACATAACTGTTGGAGGTATAGTGGAAAATACAAATAGGACACGACACCACAGCACAACAACCATGATCATGTAAATGAGATGGATACTGTGCAGAAGTATCATCCAAACTCCCAAATAACTAAAACGATTCAATCTAATAAAAAGCAATACAAAACATAACGATTCACCAAAAAGAGGAGTGGGAACAAAATTAAAAGTTTTAAAACCAAAATTCTAATTATATTTTACAGTGCAAAGCCTGATTCTAGGATAATTAGAGTGACGAAAGAAAGAAAAAAAAAGGGGCTAGATTAGAAAATTAATTGCTGAATTTATTTTAGAAGTAATTATCAGACTCTAATAAAAGTTTGGATACCAAACTTAATTACAATCGGTTAAATTATAAATTTAGTCGCAAACTTTTAAGATTGCATGTAATACTAGTTGAACCTTAAAATTGTCCAATAAATCTCAAAGTTTACAATTTTATATTTAATAGGTTTCTAAATTTTCAATTTTGTGTATCTAATCAATTACACATTTTTTAAAATTTATCAATTTATTAAATACAACTCCCTACAAATTGAAGGACTAAACCTATAACTTATATTTATGATTTTAAAAGACCAAAAAAAAAAAAAAAGAACCCACACACAACAACAAAAGAAAGAAAAGAAAAGCCCCGAGAAATTTATCTGCCCAAAAAAAATTATTAAATTGTTGAAAAATAAAAATATTTGGAGGAAAAAAATACACTGTACTATAAGGATCATGTTACCCCGTGTATGATATTATCCACTTTGGTCATCGTCCTCATACTTTTTTGGTTTCATCTAAAAAGCCTCCGAACCAATAGAAATTATTATCCTCATCTATATATTGTGGATTATGTACTTCCTTAACTAATGTGAGATTTTGTTTGCATTCACTGCACAAACCCAACAATCGTCCCCTTAAATAAAGTACCATCGAGCCTTCTCCGAAGTAGTCACTAATCAGTCTACTTCGACTTGAATGAGAGCTTACTCTTATTAAAGGTTTCCGTTATAGCTTCATAGAGCACACTCATTGATTACACATGACTATATCTTTTAAAGCTCACCACTTATTTGTTCCACATTTATCGATGAATATCCAAAGACCAAGGACCGAATACCTTTCCTTTCCTTTCCTTTCCAAGGAGGGGACCACGAACCAATTTGATTAAAATAATGCAATCAAACAAAAAGACTTTTGACTTTGAAAATCACTACCTTACCTCGTGGTTTAGTGTGTTGGCTTGGCTCTCCCTCCAATTGATTAACTTATCCCAAACCCAAACTTGTGTAACCACATCTCGCCCAATTTCTCCCATGGCCAACGCCGCGCCTCTGTTTGAAAGAGTGGCAATTACAAGACCCATCGACGCAGTGCTGGACGCTGCAATTTGCTTCCTCCTGATTTCCCTCCTCGCCTATCGCCTTCTATTCCTCTGTAACCATGGCTTCTCTTTCCTCCACGCCGCCGCCTTCCTCTGCGAGTCCTGGTTCACCTTCATCTCCCTCCTCCACGTTTCCATCAAATTCAACCCCGTCCGTTTCACAACCTATCCCCACCGCCTACGCCTCCTCAAACGGTAAAAAAAAAAAAAAACTTTTAATAATTCTCTCTTATTCCCAAATTCCAATTGATTTTTTTTTTTTGAGATGTTAAAATTTTGAAATACAGGGCTGAGGATCTTCCTCGGGTGGACGTATTTGTTACGACCGCAGATCCGACGTTGGAACCACCGATAATCACCGTCAACACGGTTCTGTCTGTGTTGGCCCTAGATTATCCGGCCAATAAATTGGCTTGCTATGTCTCCGACGATGCCTGTTCTCCCCTCACCTTCTATTCCCTCACGCAAGCTCTCAAATTCGCTCAAATTTGGGTTCCCTTTTGCCGCAAGTATGGGGTTCAGGTCCGAGCGCCGTTCCGATACTTCTCCGGTAGTTATTCAACCGACGACGGCGAGTCGGCAGAGTTCCGGCGAGAGTGGAAGGAAATGAAGGTAAACAAAAATCAAAACTTTATAAATATTAAAAAAGGGCAGTTGCAAGTATAGCGGAAAAAAAAATTAGTAAAATCAACAAAATAACAATTACATCTCATTTTTTTTAAATATAGTACTTTTTTCAAAAAAATGGAGATCTAATTTTAAAATTACAACTTTACTCTGTAATATATCTGCAATATATATGTGTTTGTTATATTTCTGATATAATAATGATGTAGAATTAATTTACTTTTAATATAACTATGACATCTACTGAACTTATAATATGATTTACCATTGATATACGTATGATAATAATTGATTTACCATGCCGAGCATTTATATATCTGTGATATATACTTGACATATCTCTAATTTACCATTAATATACAAATGATATACCACTGATATAACTATGATATCTACTTATATAACTTCTTATATATGATTATATGATTTACCACTAATATAACATTGATATATATTTGATATAGACTTAATATGCTTCTAATTTACCATCGATATATCTCTGATATAACCATGATATTTATTAATATAATTATGATACATGTGTGTTGACATAATACTATTATATCCACTATTTTTTTTATATGAAAACAATGGTGCAAAGAAAAAATTTTGAAATATAAAGTTATTATATAAAAAATTTATGTGGATCATGCACGTCCAAGAAAAAGAAAAGTTAGAAATCTGATATACTTAATAAATTTAAACCGTTGATATCCCTGATATTTAGTATCTAATTAATATTAATATAAAATAAATAGTAGTGATATAGTAATCAATATCATTGATAATATTAGTATATTAATCAATAAATTGTAATGGTAAACTAGAATTTAAACAGCTGATATACCACTAAAAATTAAACATTTGATGTACCTTATATTTAGTATATCAGTTGTAAATACATTTAGTATATCGTAAATTAAAGATACATCAGATATATATATTAGAGGTATAATAATATACCTCTGATAATATATATCATGAATACATATGATAATGTTTATCATGAATACATCTAATAATGTATATCAAGAGTACATCAGAAGTATATCAGATATAAATTTGATATATATTAGATATAGATATGCATTAGATTTATATCAGATACAAAGATATATTTTGGATGTATATCAGATATCATAAGGTAAAATCAGAATAATAAAAATTTCGAAAATAATCTTTCAAATATTTTGTTATATTTGAAATTTTAAAAAGTTGGTGACGATTTTTGAAATATATAAATTATTTTTGTTATCCACTGCAATTATCCTAAAAAAAATTGGCTCCTTAAAAAGTTAACCCCACTAAATATTTAATGCTAGTGCCTAATAGTATGATTGAGGTGGGAGTAATTTTTTAATTTTTATTTTTAAGGTGGAGTACGAGAAGCTGTGTAGCACGATTGGGGCGGCATGTCAAATTCCAGCATCGGACTCACATGTCCTTGTTGGGGGTGGGGACCACGCAGATTTCTCCGCTGCAGACTCCAAAAACCATGCTCCAGTTGTCAAGGTAACACTTATTTATTAATTTCCTATGCCATAATTAAAATATTGGGTTTTATTTGTTTTGCCATCTCAGTCTAAAAGTGAGTAAATTTTAATTTTCAATTTTTCAATTTCATGAATTTAGTAATTAATGCCTCTTTTAAATTAAATTTAAAATTTATGCGTGAATCAACTTGGGAAATTACCCAATTAAACCAACTAAATATTTCAGAAAAAAAAAAAAGGCTCGAACCTAATCATAGAAATACTTGGGCCTTGCCAAAAATCGAGCAAGTACAAAACGTTCAAATTTAGCGGCAAATTGCAGAAATCCAACTAATTAAAGAAGAATTGACACGTTCAACTATAAGATGTCCATGGCTAATCACAATTTCTTTTTTTTTTTTTTTTTGTTAATTGCGAGTAACTAATTAAAGGTGATAATTGCATGTTTCAAAGTAGAATTTAAACAAATTAAATAAAAAGTTAAGCTTTAAACTGATTATCTCATCTAAGTTCAAAGGTATAAATGAGAATTTTCCCTTTAATATATATACTACTATTTGGACATGTCTATTTGATCTCTTTGATATTGTTCAACTTTTCAAACGTTATAAGTTATTTTCTTTCATCGATACAAGTATATATAGTTTAATTAGTCAAGATATAACTTCTTTTTGCATAATAGGTTAAAACATTACTTACTTCTTCAATAGTCAGAGATTTGAATAACAAAATATATTTTTCTTGAACTTTCTTATTTTATTTTGACAGTATATATATATATATATATATATATATATATATATATATATATATATATTTCAATTTTCAAATTTTCAACTTCGACGTTTTAAAATAGGGAATATACATGACTAAAACCTAAACACTTTCTCACTTTGGCCTCTATAGAGTAGGTCTTAATTTCTATTAATTTTTTTTCTTCGTATTATAATCTTTTTTGTTTTTCTCATTCCAATATTATCTCTTAAACAATCTCCTTATTTTCCAGATATTATGGGAAAACAAAGAAGGTCATGGGGATGAAGTTCCACACTTGGTTTACGTATCAAGAGAAAAGAGACCTAAATATTCACACAATTTCAAAGCCGGTGCCATGAACGTTTTGGTAATTTCATATCCATCTGAATATTTATCTCTAATTAATAGTACAGCCAATAACAAGGAGGGATAATTACCCTTCCATTTATCATGATTCTAAAAGTCTATATTTTTATATTTAATTATATGATTCCTCTCATTTGTCCTCTTAAATTTTTAGAATTGAAATATTTTATATTAAAAAATTAATATGTAAAATTCTTTCTTGTCTAAGAAAATTTATGGCTCCACCCTCTATCTATAATCCCATATATTAAGTTTTTGTAATTTGTCTATTATTCAAACATAGTGCCTCCCAAAATCCGTAAACCATACCTAATTTTTATTAAATTTTACCATTAATATTTATTCAATTTCCCTAGAACTATTTAATAAAAGGATATGGTTCATAAATTATTTCTGCATTTCTCTTGAACTAAAAAAATATAATTTATTATCATTCCCATATCCCCTGTTTTCAGTTGATATTTATTCGATGATTCATGTTGAATGTGCAGACTAGAGTCTCTGGATTAATGACAAATGCTCCTTACATATTGAACGTAGATTGTGATGTGTTTGTGAACGACTCCAGTGCAATTCTTCAAGCAATTTGTGCACTCATTGACCCCAGGAGTGATGAAGAAGTTGCATTCGTTCAATTTCCCCAACGTTTCTATGGTGGATCCAAACATGACTTGTATGGAAATCATTTCCTTGTCTTCATGGAGGTAGTTCGTTCAACCTTTAATATTTAAAATATTAAACTTCGTCCTCATTATATATAAAATAAAATAAATCCACAAAATCTCTCCTTAATTACACCACTAAAATTCAGTGATGTCATTTTTTAATACTGGTGAGCCAATATATGCGATGCAGGTGAAATTAATTATCATTTTATTATTATTATTTTAAGGGTAATTTTATCATTCAAATACAAATTTCTCTCTCCATTCTTCTAATTTGATCTATCTTTCCAAATTTCTCTCTGGATCCCCACATTTTTTATTTTCTCCCTATCTTTCTAAATACTATTTCTCCACCTTTACAAATTTCAAATAAACCTAAAAAATTATATAATTTGAGTAAGGAATTTGGATGGGTGGAGAAAAATAAAAGAGTTCAAGAGTGAATGAGAAAGAAAAATAATGCAAGCAGAGGTAAATAAAGTTTTTGAGAGAGAAAAAATTATTTGATAAAAAAATATAATTTCTAAAATAGGAGATAAAATATTTGGAAATTAAAAGGAAGGAGGGAGAGAGAGAATTGGTAGAATTGGAAGGAATTTGGAGGGAGAGAGAGGGGAAGAGAGAATTTGGTGGAATTTGAGCGGAATTAGAGAGAGATGAATGACAAAATTGCACTTGAAGTAATTTGATTAAAATTAAAAGGCAAAATTGAGAGGTAAAAACTTTTTACTATCGTGTCTTATATATATATATAGCATAGATTGATCGATTAATGTTAACTTCATCCTAATCTATTGAACAAAAACAATTAAAATATTTCATATTTTACTTAGCACTTTGATTTGGGCATGGCAGTCCATCGTTCCTGGACTAGCAGGAAGTCAAGGACCGAGCTACATGGGAACAGGGTGTATTCATCGACGAAAAGTCTTGTATGGCCAATTACCAAATCAACCTAATATTAATGGTAATTTTCATTTTCTATTCCACGTTTCTCTATTTTGTTATATTCTTATTAATATCTTTTTCTTTTTTCCTTTTTTTGGAAGGAAAATTTTCAGAAACAAAATTATTTAAAAAATTTGGATACTCCGAAGACTTCATCAAATCAGCTACTTCTGCTTTGATGGGCGCCGCAGACGGCTATCCGTACTCTCTGCAATACCCAGTTGAAGCCTTAAACAAAGTCGCGGGTTGTGGTTACGAGTATGATACTTGTTGGGGTGTTGAGGTTTGCCTTTCGCTAGCTCTTACCAGAGTTTTGGTTTTTGATTATATGAGCTTTCTAAAAACACAATATTATGTTTTAGTGTCTATTATTAACCTGCTACCAATAGTTTAACATAAAATTGTTTCGAGTATGAGAAGTAATAATGTAATATGTTAATATTGACATGTATATTGAAGTTGTTTAAAAGACTAATAACAAGAACTAAAATGATTAGGAGTTTTCATTTCATCATTTATAAGATATCTAACACTTCTCCTTTCCTTGTCGTCGAATAGGACCTCCTGTTCTAATATCATCTTAAACATGATTGATCATCAATGAATTCAAAAACTTAAGTCGATAGATTAAGCTAAATTTAATTATCTTTTGGATATCTTAAAAGTTTTAAATTTCTTGTTCTCAGGTAGGGTTATACTACGGGTCCGCGACCGAGGACATTTTTACAGGCATGATGATCCAGAGCCAGGGTTGGAAATCCATTTACCTCAACCCAAACCCACCAGCCTTCCTCGGTTGTGCGCCCACGAGCGGCCCGGCCACGTTCACCCAACTCAAGAGATGGATGACAGGCTTTCTTGAAATCTTCTTCAGCAAAAATTGTCCCATTTTTGCTGCTCTCTTTGGCAAACTTCACCTCAGGCTATGTATGTTCTACGTTTGGATCTACCTCTGGGGAATCAGTTCTATTCCAGAGCTTTGCTATGCCGCTTTGCCCGCATACTGTCTCATCACCAACTCTCGCTTCTTACCCGAGGCAAGTTACAAAAATGTTTGTGTTTATTCAAAATAATGTTTTGATTTGTTACGAGACTTTAGTTGCATTCCTAACATTAATGACTTAATGCAGCTACAAGAGCGTGAAATATTCATACCTTTTTTGCTCTTCGTCCTCTACAACATCCAACAAGTGTTACTATATTTGAAAACGGGACAATCGATTAGGGCTTATTGGAACAATCAGAGAATGGCGAGAATAAACACAATGTGCGCGTATTTATTTGGTGTTATGGGCATTGTGCTTAAGTTCTTAGGATTATCAGAAACGATATTTGAAGTGACAAAAAAGGAGTCATCTTGTTCCAGCGATGGTGGCGAGACGGATGAGAATTCAGGTCAATTCACATTCGACAAGTCGCCGTTGTTTGTGCCAGGCACGACAGTTTTGATGATGCAATTGACAGGGTTGTTCATGAGTATTTGGAGATGGCCAGCCAAGGCGGGCGAAGTGGGGGAAGTGACGTGTAGTGTGTGGTTGGTTTTGTGCTTCATGCCATTCTTGAAGGGGATGTTTGGGAAAGGAAGATATGGGATACCGTTTTCCACCATGTGCAAGTCCAGTTCTTTAACAATGTTATTTGTATACTTGTCTCTAAAGACAGTTATGTAGGACCAACAGAATTTGTTTGTGTTTGTAGTCTAATTTGTGTTTTTTGCTTTAATAAAAATGTTGGAATTAGCAGCTGCGCATTCTCTAGTTATTGTAATGTAATTTTTTTGATTAATTAGTATTATCGAAGGATATTGATGTTTTTAATAGTTCATCAACACTGCAAGTTTCAAATATTTTACATAATTGATCACAGAAATATTCCTTTAGTGATTGAATAGTCATCAAGATGACTAGGTTTATATAGAATCCTTATCAATTGAAAGATACAACCAATTTTAAAATAGAAATACCCAAATTTTAATCAATCCAGCCCATTAGGATATTTACTAAATGTAAAACCTCTAAAAATAAGAAAATATAAGACAAATTTGACGTCAATGAGCTACCATTATTATTATTGTAATTAAAAAGATTAGTAAAATAATGTATTTGTACTTATCTAAGAATGGATATATTAGTAATTATTATATGTCTTGCATCATCAAAGGAATAATATTTTCATTCCGATTGATTTTCATTCTAATTCATTCCCATTACGATTACGGGTAAGTAAACGGAACCTAAGTCTTAAATATTTCTACAGAGAATACTTCTTATGTCATCACTGCCATAAAATAGTTGACAATTAAAAAGAAAAATATAAAAATAAATACTTTTGTAAAGAAATAATGAGTTATCAAATTTTTAATGGTCATGAAAACAAGATTTGCTTCTCATTACTCCCGAAGAATTTCTATAGTACATTAAAATTCAAATTGACTTTTTTTTAGTACAACATGTGGGAATCTAACTCATAACTTTTAGGTGAGAGATATATGTCAATTACTAACTAAGCTATATTCGTTTTAACAAATTCAAATTGACTTAAAATGGACAAACTTTTTCGGACAAGAATATATTTGAGGGAAAATATATGAAAAGTTTGGAGTAAGTGTCAATTTAGTTTCGGTTATTTTAAAATAAATATTCTTGGTCCTTAAGTTTACAAAATTGTTCTAAATGGCATGCAAGCATCTTCTGCGATTCGTTGACAACACAAAATTGACCTGACAATTCACAAAGTCACTGGATTTTTAATGAGCCGTAAAAAGTATTAATTTTAACACAATTTTGTTATGTGACATATTTTCTTTTTATTCCTTCCCTTCTTCTTTTGTTCTCTTCGTCTTCTTGTTGTTGTCTATCGTCGTTGCTGCTGTTGCTGTCTGTCGAAGGGGCAGAGCTCCTCCCTTTCTCTTTTTTTCTCTCTCAGGTGACATCGAGGGCGTAGAACTAACGCCCAGTGACATTGCTCATTGTCGCTGAAAGATGGTAGAGCTCTTCCTCTCCCTCCCGTTCTAGATATGAAACAAAAGATAATGAAAGCAAGATGTTTTTTACTCTTAGTTGTTCAATGGTGGTAAAAATAAATTTGTTCCCTATTTTAAGGAGCAAGTATTTTACTTTTCTTTTTTTCTCGAGGAGGGACCACGAACCAATCAAAAAGACTTTGGGCACATGAAAATCACTCCTTTACCTCGTGGTTTAATCTTGTATACCCACACCACATTTCGCCCACACATCTCACATCTTGATTCTCCCATGGCCAACGCCAACGCCAACGCCGCGCCTCTGCTTGAAAGAGTTGCAATTACAAGACCCATCGATGCAGTGTTGGACGCTGCAATTTGCTTCCTCCTGATTTCCTTGCTCGCCTATCGTCTCCTATTCTTCTATAACCATGGCTTCTCTTTCCTTCACGCCGCCGCCTTCCTCTGCGAAGCCTGGTTCACCCTCACCTCCCTCCTCCACGTCTCCATCAAATTCAACCCCGTCCGTTTCACAACTTATCCCCACCGCCTACGTCTCCTCAAACGGTAAAAACTTTTAATAACTCTCTTATTCCCAAATTCCAATTGATTTTTTTGAGAGATTAAAAGTTGGAAATACAGGGTAGAGGAGCTTCCTCGGGTGGACGTATTTGTTACGACCGCAGATCCGACGTTGGAACCGCCGATAATCACCGTCAACACGGTGCTGTCTGTGTTGGCGTTGGATTATCCGGCCAACAAATTGGCTTGCTATGTCTCCGACGATGCCTGTTCTCCCCTGACCTTCTATTCCCTCACGCAAGCTCTCAAATTCGCTCAAATTTGGGTTCCCTTTTGCCGCAAGTATGGGGTTCAGGTCCGAGCGCCGTTCCGGTACTTCTCCGGTAGTTGTTCAACCGACGACGGTGAGTCGGCAGAGTTCCGGCGAGAGTGGAAGGAGATGAAGGTAAACAAAAATCAAAACTTCATAAATATAATCGAATCGTGATCATAAGCTGAGCTGACTGGATGTTGATTTTTTATTTACTTAACTCTCAAAAGTATACTGAGATAAATATAACAGAGTTTTCTTTTAAAAAGTAGTAAATTATCAAATGTTATTTCTAGTACTCTCCTTTTTCAGACAACCATTTTTATTAATAAATAATTTTTTTTGATACATAAATTTTTAATATTAGTAGGCTTCATATAATTTTTAAATGAAATTATATGATATTGGTACCCTATAGCATGATTCAGGTGGAAGTTTTTTTTTTTTTTCATCATTTAATTTTAAGGTGGAGTACGAGAAGCTACGTAGCATGATTGAGGAGACAGGTCAATTTCAAACATTTGACCCACGTGACCTTGTCAGGGGTGGGGACTATGCAAATTTCTCCGCTACGGACTCCAAGAACCATGCTCCAATTGTCAAGGTATCACTTATTTACTTAGGACAACAATTTTACCTCCCAATTATTTTCATAATAGTAGAATATTATCTATTTTTGGCATAGTTTCACGACTTTGTTTTTGAATTTACTTAAAAGTCTCGTACCAATGTAAATAATTGTTCTCATCTATATATCATGATCATACTCTTTCTTGACCAATGCAGAATTGTGTTTACATACAAATCTCACAATTAGTTTTATGTGCCGTAATTAAAATATTGAGTTCTATTTCATTTCATCCAGGTTAAAAGTGACTAAACTTGAACTTTTCAATTCTTTATTTCATTATTTTATTCATTAATACCTCTTTCAAATCAAATTTAAAAATTGTGTGTGAATCAAATTAGGACCAACTAAATGTTTCAAATCATGTTTAAAATAAAATAAAAAATAAAAAATAAAACTCAAACCTAATCATAAAAATACTTGGACCATGCCAAAAAAATTGAGCCAGTACAAAACATTCAAATTTAGCCGCAGTTTGCCAAAATCCAACAAATTAAAAGCACCTAATGTAATTAGAAGAATTGACACCTGCAACATCTAACCATAAGATGCCTGTAACTAATCACAATTAAAAAAAAAATTGAAACTTAACTAATAGAAGGTAAATTGTAATAATTGCACAATTATTTAAATGTAGAGTTTAAATTAAATTCAAAATTTAAATAAATTAAATACAAAAAATTAAGCTTTAAACTAATTATCTCACCTAAGTTTAAAGGTATAAATGAGAAATTTTCCCTTTATTATAACTACTATTTAGGTACTGTCTCTAGTTTTCTTTGACATTATTCAAGTTCTCGAAATCGAAATGTTGAATCTATATAGTTCAATTGATTAAAATATTTTTTTTATATATATTATAGGTCAAAACATTATTTACTCATAGGTAATTACTTTTTCAATAACCAGAGATCTGTAGTCAAATATATTTTTCAACTTTCTTCCTTATTTTATTTCTCTGTCTCAATT